AATGATAAACTACTATTTGCTTTTAATTTCCTTTCTGATCTCACTGTTTTACAATCTCTTTCAGTGTCTGTACTGTACGTGGAGTTAAAACTGTGTTTAAATGACACAGTTTGTGTCTCTTTCTTGAGCAAGAGCAGCTGCTTTCCTGTCTGTCTGTTTTTCTGTGTCTCTGTTCTATAAAAGGAGAAACCTCTATCTCCTCTATCTGTACATGAACTATCTTCAAGGAAGAAATGTTAGGTTTTTGCTTCCAGGAAAGTATGGGAGATACTTACTACTAAAATATGTAGTAAAATGTTTTTTTGTATTAGAATAGGAGTAGAGTTGGAAGTGGGCTATAAGGCCATTGAATCCAACCCTCTCCTCTGCTTCTACATGTGGTCGCTTATCCACCTTTCCAACATGCCCAACGTGACCCAACATTTGTAAATTCAGTATTTGGAACAAAGTAGGGAGCCACTAAAAGCATCATGGGTTTGATCCAACCTCAGAGTATAGTTTTCTGACAAAGCTGGTCATTCCTTTCTGTTATACAGTCATGTTGCAAAAATATTCACTCAGTTTGCCTGAAAGAAAAAGATCCCAAGGGGAGATGCTAACACACCAATGACTCTTGAGGCAAGATGTTTTTTTTATTGAGAAACCAGCTGCAGCAGGGTGAAGCCTTGTCTAAAACCATACAAAAAAGCTTCACCCCTCCCCCTTCTTGTTCCTCAAAGTTATACCCTCTAGTCTCTAAGGGGTATATAGTTCCAAATAGCCAATCAGCAAGCTACACATTCTAACATTTAGTTGTTGCTGTTCTTCTAACTTGACCTTGAACATGCTGTAACATTGATAAGGGTTTTCAGAGAGTACACTCTCCCCAGCTGGAGCCATGACTAACTGAATACGCTTCCCTACTTCTAAGCTGCATTTTTGTGCAAGTCATAGTTACAGCAATGAAGCACTTGTGTTAACTTTAAAAAGTGATAACTTAATAAATACATGCATGCAAATGTATATATAAAACTGATCTGAGTGAATTTGGTGGAAATCTAATTCTTGTCCACCTGGCATAAATTGTGAATAGTATGTCACTAAATGGCAACCGACTCCAGTATCTTTGCCATGAAAACCCCATGGACAGTACCAAAAGGCAAAAAGATACGATGCCGGAAGATGAGCCCCTCAGGTCAGAAGGTGTCCAATATGCTACTGAGGAAGAGCAGAGGGCTAGTACTAGTAGCGCCAGAAAGAATGAGGCGACTGGGTCAAAGCCAAAAGGACACTCAGTTGCTGATGTATCTGGAGGTGAAAGGAAAGTCCGATGCTGCAAAGATCTATACTCCATAGGAACCTGGAATGTAAGATCCATGAATCAAGGCAAGCTGGATGTGGTCGAACAAGAGATGACAAGACTGAACATCGACATCTTAGAAATCTGAACTAAAATGAATGGGTGAATTTAATTCAGATGACCATCAGGTATACTACTGCGGGCAAGAATCCCTCAAAAGAAATGGAGTAGCTTCGAATCCAAGGAAAACCATTCAACATCACAATAGTCCAAGTCTATGCCCCAACCACTGGTGCTGAAGAGGCTGAAGTTGACCAGTTCTATGAAGGCCGACAACACCTTCTAGAATTAACTCCAAAAAATGATGTCCTTATCATCCTGGGGGATTGGAATGCTAAAGTAGGAAGCCAAAAGATAACTGAAATAACAGGCAAGTTTGGCCTTGGAGTACAAAATGAAGCAGGGCACAGGCTAATAGAATTTTGTCAAGAGAATACAATGGTCATAGCAAGCACTCTTTTCCAACAACCCAAGAGACGACTCTACACATGGACATCACCAGACGGTCAACACAGAAATCAGATTGACTGTGCTCTGCAGCCAAAGATGGAGAAGCTTTATACAGTCAGTAAAAACTAGACCAGGAGCTGACTGTGGCTCAGATCATGAGCTTCTCGTTGCAAAATTTAGGCTTAAATTGAAGAAAGTAGGGAAAAGCACTAGGCCACTCAGGTATGACCTAAATCATATCCCTGATGAATATACAGTAGAGGTGACAAATAGATTTAAAGAATTAGATCTGATAGACAGAGTGCCTGAAGAACTGTGGACGGAGGTTCACAACATTGTAGAAGAGGTAGCAACTAAAGCCATCCCAAAGAAAAAGAAATGCAAGAAAGCAAAATGGCTGTCTGAGGAAGCTTTACAAATGACTGAGGAAAGGAAACGAAAGGCAAGGGAGAAAAGGAAAGATACACCCAATTGAATGCAGAATTCCAGAGAATAGCTATAAGAGATAAGAAAACCTTCTTAAATGAACAGTGCAAACAAATAGAAGAAAACAATAGAATAGGGAGGACCAGAGATCTCTTCAAGAAAATTGGAGATATGAAGGGAATGTTTCATGCAAAGATGGACATGATAAAGAACCAAAATGGCAGTGACCTAACAGAGGCAGAAGAGATTAAGAAGAGGTGGCAGATTATACAGAAGAACTATACAAGAAAGAGCTTAACGTCCCTGATAACCACGATGGGGTGGTCACTGACCTCGAGCCAGACATCCTGGAATGTGAAGTCAAATGGGCCTTAGGAAGCCTGAGCAGCAACAAAGCTAGTGGAGGTGACAGTATTCCAGCTGAGCTATTCAAAATCTTAAAAGACAATGCAGTAAAAGTGCTACACTCAATATGCCAGCAAATTTGGAAAACTCAACAGTGGCCACAGGATTGGAAAAGGTCAGTTTACATTCTGATCCCAAAGAAGGGCAATGCCAAAGAATGTTCAAACTACTGCACCATTGCACTCATTTCACATGCTAGCAAAGTTATGCTCAGAATCCTACAAGCTAGGCTCCAGCAGTATGTGGACCGAGAACTACCAGAAGTACAGGCAGGATTTTGAAGAGGGAGAGGAAGCAGAGATCAAATTGCCAACGTACGCTGGATCATGGAGAAAGCTAGGGAGTTCCAGAAAAACATCTACTTCTGCTTCATTGACTATGCTAAAGCCTTTGTGTGGATCACAACGAATTGTGGCAAGTTCTTAAAGAGATGGGAGTACCAGACCATCTTATTTGTCTCTTGAGGAACCTGTATGCGGGTCAAGAAGCAACAGTGAGAACTGGACACGGAACCACTGATTGGTTCAAAATTGAGAAAGGAGTTCGGCAAGGCTGTATACTGTCGCCCTGCCTATTTAACTTATATGCAGAGCACATCATGAGAAAGGCGGGGCTAGATGAATCACCAGTTGGAATTAAGATTGCTGGGGGAAATATCAACAACCTCAGATATGCAGATGATACCACTCTCATGGCAGAAAGTGAAGAGGAACTAAAGAGCCTCTTGATGTGGGTGAAGGAGGAGAGCGCAAAAGTTGGCTTGAAATTCTACATTAAGAAAACTAAGATCATGGCATCCAATCCTCTCACTTCCTGGCAAATAGATGGGGAAGAAATGGAGGTAGTGACAGATTTTATTTTCCTGGGCTCCAAGATCACCGCAGACGGAGACTGCAGCCAAGAAATTAAAAGACGCTCCTGGGAAGGAAGGCTATGGCAAATCTAGACAGCATACTAAAAAGCAGAGACATCACCCTGCCAACAAAAGTGCGTATAGTCAAGGCTATGGTTTTCCCAGTTGCAATGTATGGTTGTGAAAGCTGGACCATAAGGAAGGCTGAGCGCCGAAGGATTGAGGCCTTTGAGTTGTGGTGCTGGAGGAGACTCCTGCGAGTCCCTTGGACCACAAGGTGATCAAACCGGTCAGTCCTAGAGGAGATCAACCCTGACTGCTCTTTAGAAGGCCAGACACTGAAGATGAAACTCAAATACTTTGGCCACCTAATGAGAAGGAAGGACTCCCTGGAGAAGAGCCTAATGTTGGGAACAATAGATGGCAAAAGAAGAAGGGGGTGGCAGAGGATGAGGTGGCTAGATGGAGTCACTGAAGCAGTTGGTGTGAGCTTGAGTGGACTCCGGGAGATGGTGGAGGACAGGAAGGCCTGGAGGAAAGTTGTCCGTGGAGTCGCGATGGGTCGGACACGACTTCGCAACTAACAACAACAAAATCTGTTAAGACTAATTTTGTTGATTGCTTACATTATTAAAAAAATAAGTTTGTAATCCAAAGAAGGTTGGTAACAAATACTTGTGTACCTAGATGTGGTTTTAATATTATTATTATTATTATTATTATTATTATTATTATTATTACTACTACTACTACTACTACTACTACTACTACTATTATAACATTTCTATGCCGCCCCTTGCCGAAACCTCGGGGCGGCTTACAACATGATAAAATACATTGAAATACAATAGTACATAATAAATTACCATTAAATATAACAATACAAAAAATACATTGATTTACAAATACAAAATTAAAAGTATCAGTATAAATTAATAAAGCCCATCACCTGACATTATTAAAGACCATTAGGATCTTAACATGCCATTTTACCAAGGCTTTTACCTCTGGACTTTTGCAGTGTTAAGATCAGTTTGTTAACACATTTTTAGTTTCTTTCTTTCTTTCTTTCTTTCTTTCTTTCTTTCTTTCTTTCTTTTCTCTGCCTTTCTATATGTTCCAACACATAGCCACTAAGTGGTGCTGTGGTAGAACAGAACCATGGAAATACACAAGGGTTTCTAGCTGCTATTTGCAGATAATACTGCACTTTTCTTAATATAAAAAATGCCATGGAAACTTTTGCAAAGAACAGGAGAGGCCTTCGAGGATGATAATGTTGTGTACAGCACTTACAAACTATTGTGAGTGAGGGAGGAATCATGAGTGCGCACGCACGCACACACAAACCCTGAAGTATAAAGGCTCTGACAGATGCATGCTTTTTCACTATTCATTCTATGGCTGTTGAAAATTGCAGCCTCTGTTAATGAAATTTATTGTTGGTTTTAAAATCAGCATGATGGTTGCTCTGTATAAATTTTACCTTCAATCAGTGTTTGAACTGAGGAACTCTGTTTTTGATAGGCTGAAGAATGATGGCTACCTTCAATAAACTCAATCTGGGTGTTGGTGTTAGCAGTTTTGCTATATTTCAACTTTCCTTCCATTTGCTAAGTTCTTGGATTTCTGCACGTGTAACTTCTGGTTTTAATAACCTTGACCAAAAGAAGAAGATCGAATGGAATTCAAGGTAAAGTTTCTAAATTGTGGTAGAATAATAAATACAATCAGAAATAATCAAGGTAGGGTTCCTAATGCATTTGCCAAAACAATGTCTTTCCAAAATGCCAGAGAGTGTTCTGATGTGTGTCAGGATTAGAGTAAAAGGCCCTTGTTTATGCTAACGCCTCCTTGGGGATACATGTAGAAAACTGGGAGATAAAGGGAATTAATACATTTTGGTAAAGTTGAATAATAGTTGAACCTGAGCCACTGTTTTTAAAGGTGTTGTAAAATGCATGTGCATGGTGAGCATATTTCCCACTTGAGTGGCAGGAAAATAAACACCCAATTTCTTTGGAGGGTCAGCCTTTTCTAACTGGCTCTGCTTCTGTGCTTTTTAACAGCAGCTTGAAGCATGCAGAACTTTCATGTAATTTCAGTTCTGTGCAAGAAAAACCTTATTATTCTTAAACAGGAATGTATGCATGCTACTTGATTGGTGCTCTGCACCACCACATCTAGCTTACATTGTTCTCCTGATGCAGATACCCATTGCATTTTGCTACTTAGCTGAATATCGCAGTTGTTTTGTGGGAAAATCCTTTACTCTCATAAGATAATGATGTTTTATATAGCACTATCAGTGTGCATGGTAATTTACAGAATACAGGAGGACAGGTGCAATTTATAAAACAGTTACTACATATCCTACTTTTTGAAATTATAGCATTTTGTTGTGAGATATGTACTACAGTTCAAATGAAATATTGATCCATATTTTTAAGAGTATCTCTCTTCTGGAATGATGCCAAATGTATAGATGGTGGCTTACCCGCTGTCATTCAGACATTTTATTCAAAAGGACAATATTACGAAGCTTAACATTTCTGGTAAACATTTCTTATTTGATACTAGAAAGCTACAGAAAAGTAAAACAGGGAGCAGACATTTTCTCTTAAAATGCTCTACAGCAGACATGTAGATACAATAACAGATACATTTTCTTTACATTCCTGTCTACATGCCTGGATTAGAGAAGAGGGTCCAATATACTGAAATCTGCTCTATTTTAAAGATCCACAGAACTGCTGATGCATGCACAGGGATTCTCTGTGTGCAAATGATTCCTTATTCATTTCCATTATGGGAGTAGCTTTGGGGGATGGGATCATAGAGTTACTGATCATGGGCTGATAAACTTAGGCAAATTATACTGATCCAGTGAACTTAAGGCTCTCACTCTTTTCCCCCTCTCCCTCCCTCCCTCGTGTTTTGTTTAAGACCAAGCCAAATATCATTACATCTGTTAGTTTCTGATTCTGATTCTTTTTAATTTAATTTACTTTACTTCAGTTAAACACTATGAAGGTTGGGACCTCAGTGGCTTTTTAATGACGGCTATGTAGGAAATAGCAGTTCCCTTTTGGTGTTATTCCACCCAGGTTTGTGGGAAATTGTATAACTGAGCTCAGACAGTGGTCTTCAATGACTGTGCTCTTTTGAGGTTTGTATCTGCCCAGCTTTTAGGAGGCTATGAAAGTCTAATAATAGTTCAATCTTATGTGCAGCACAAATCACTTTGAAAAATTAGTGTTTTTGCATAAATTTTTAAAGATATAACTTCTATAACTTTGTCAACCATATAAACAGGCTTTGCCAACTGAAAGTGAAATATTTCTACTAGTTTCACTCTCCCCCCGTTGCCCCAAAGAGTGTTAGTACATTTTTAATGAGGTTGCTTTTGTCTCTTTTAGGACAGTATCTACATTCCACGCCTCGGTGGTTGGAGCATTTTGTTTGTATATTTTATTATATGATGAAGCTGTTAATGCTGACCACGTTTGGTAAGACAAATCCTTGGTTATAAAACTTTTTCCTCACCTCCTTTTCCTTGTTCTGCCTCATTGTTGTTTGTTCTTTTAGTCAAATGACCTCTAAGCTTAATTAAAAAGAAACATGTGCATCTCTGACTGTACAAATGTTTAATACTTGTAAAGCACTTTTACAGAGGCTTTGGTCTTTGTATTTAATGTGGAGGACTCATAAGGCCCTGGATTCTTGGGATGGCATATTGACATACAAGGGGCGTTCAATGTATTCTCAGTATCGGTTGATTTGCTATTGATGTGGGTAATTTAATTATTTCATTAGCTAATGACACTGTCTGAGGGTATACATGCAAAATGTCACAGTGCTTTAAAAAAAATCCCCTTAAGCAGCCTAACCATCTCCCCCACCTAACTAAATAAATATTCAACTAGTTGTTGTATAGTTTCAGACTTCAGATCATGTGCACATAAGACTCCTATGGAAAGCTAGACAAGAACTATACTGAGCATTTTTTAAAAGAGTAATTGATACATGTAAGCTAAGGCACAGAATGCTCTGCTGATATAAGCCCTAAAGAGAATCATAAGAATTGCATCCCTTTTCACAGTCCATGCCTGAGACCACTTTACTCCTCAAAAGATTTTTTCAAGATGACATGTAACTTTGTAAACCAGTGTAACTACTTGTAGAAAAGGATTGTTACTAAATAACCTTGCTATAGATTTTTACTGAAAGTGCTACAGAAGAAATGTGAGTTAGCTAACTGAAGCAGCTCTTGTTCACTTTATCTGTTCTTTTATCAGAGTGTTATAATCATGAAGGTTTATAGTTTTTGTTTTTATTTTAGGAGAAGGAAAAAAAGGACTAAGCAGCCTTTTTATTGTTGGGAAATAGGAGACTTACTAAAGACCTGTTACTAAAAAAAGAAAAAGAAACTTAAGTGAGAACTACCTTGTTTTGTTTGCATGGGAAGGGGTTCTTTGTATGAGTTCTGAAATGGGTATAACTTGCAGTTCATTGTGATTCAGTGATTCCATTTGTTGGAATAAAGAGAAAGTTAAAAAGCCATATGAAATTCCACTCTCAGCATGATTTCTTGGCCAGTGCAGTAAAAGTATAACTGATTATTTCTCCTCCCTCCATTATATATTTAATAGCAAGATTAACAAATAAAACACAAGGTTCTACTTTTTAAGTGTTTGTTGGATGTTTTTTTATTGGTACTGATGTTTTATTATTGAATTGGTTAATATGTCATTTCTTCTGTTTTGATAATGGCTTTAATTGTGTAAACCATCCATTTTTCTTCTTTTTATTTATTGTATTTCCTTTTTTCTTTTCACTTTTATTTTTTACAACTAAGAAAAACAATACAATTAACACAATTACAACAATTAAGAGTAAACATCACTGATCAAACAACACATCAACATCAGTGCACCCTCCAACAGGACCAACAACTCTAATTACTTAATGTAAGATCATTTATTAATTCAGGGTGTCCCACTTGCATTCCAGAACTGCATTCACCCTTGCGGTGGTTCACACTTCTTTCCTTTTATTAACACATGTTCAATAAAAGGTTTCCAAATACTTTCAAATTTATTTTCACTTGTCAAACTTTTTTTCCATTTAATATCGCAAGTTAACTTACTATTAATAGCTATATTGCAGACTTCTTTATACCAGTCAACTATATGATATTCACCTTTTGTTTTCCAATCCCAAGATTATTATCAATAATCCCAAGATTATTATTAATCATACTGCTGTTATACTACTTCAGTGGCTGGAAATTATACTTAATTAATGGACTTCACATTCATTGTGAAGCTTCTTGTTTTGGTCAGTGGCTGAAAGTGGTCAATTTTTGAGGCATAAGGTAGTATATATAGTAAATAATCATTTTCCTGCAGTATTCATATTCTAAATTGTTTTAGTATAGCTTGGTTTTAAAAGTAGGCAGTGTAAGGTAGGTCTGTGCTTGTTTGGGGATACTGGGAATTGTAGGACTTTGAAAAAGACTTAAATGTTACGTCCCTCAGCTGTTTCTGACTAATGATTATAAGCAAACATAACAAACTGAAGCTGTCATACTTGGGGCACATCATGAGAAGGCAAAACTCTGGAGAAGGCAATCATGCTAGAGAAATCAAAGGCAGAAGAGGAGGGCCACCAGATATGAGATGGATTTACTCCATAAAGGAAGCCATAGCCTTGGATATACAAGAGCTGAGCAGGGCTATGAGGGACAGGACTTTCTAGAGGTATTTATTTATAGGGGTTCAGGTTAGGGAGATGACTCGACAGCACATAACAACAGTAAGGTCCTCAGGTACTGCTCCCTGTCTTCTCCCCTCAGTCCCCCAGCCAGTATCCTGGGGGACACCTCATTGGAGCACTAGGTGGAGTAGAATGACAGCTGCTGAGAGCGAGCACCTTCAGTCACTGTCATCTGCTTCTTTTCCTGCACTCCTGCCAATTCCAGTAGAGCAGGGTTGTTCATGAGTAATCCCACTTTCCTGGCATCTTCAGAGGCATGAGGCTACTTGGAGTCAGGAGCCAAGAGGGGAAGAGCTAGAGCAAGGAGACCCTTCCTTCTGTGCTGCTCAGCTGGTTTAGATTATTTTCTTCACTGGTCTGTAGATATCTTACCAGTGACAGCAGGGGAATGGAAGCTATACCATTCTGGTAGCAAGCCATCCATCTAATATGCCTAACAGTGGACGGGCTTCTTCAAATTTTCCTTTCTTCAAACTCTTATTAATCTCTTTATTCAAAAGCTGCTCTTTCCATCCTGCAATATGTGAATCTTTGTTATATAAGGATTCTACTCTAGCATCATCATAGAAAATAGAATATAGAATGGGAATACAGAAAAATGGACTGTGGGTAAAAAGAAAGAAAAGGTATGTAGAGGGAGCAGTCTTACAGGGTAGGGTATCTGTGTGTGTGTGTGTGTGTGTGTGTGTGTGGTGTTAAGTATATATAATGGCTTTTGTATCTTTGCTTATAGGGGTGAGCCTTCTACAGTGCAACTAAATCTTGCTATTACTTCAGGCTACCTCATTTCAGGTAATATATACAGTGGTATGTGTAAAATTTAATGTAATTTACATGAATATAGGAAACGTTTTACCAGAATAATATTTATAAAAATGGGGGCAGGGCTTAGCAAAGTCAAGCTCTATAAGGCAGAATTGTTACTGATAAGTTCACTGCTATATCCTACTATCACATTTTGGGAGCTGCTTCCTGTTTTATCATTCGCAAGTACACAGCATCATTCATGCCTAGATCCGTTCTGGAAACTTTCAGTTCTGTTGTGTGAATAGAAGAAAAACTCAATGGGCATGTTTGCATGTCACAATAACCTATCCAGGCAACAAATCAGGGTGGATTGGTTGTTATGCTTTTATCATCCCTGTTGTGACAGCTATGAGCAGTCCTTTCAAAGTGCCCTAATGGCATGTTGGAGGAGCTGCCTATGGTGGGTAAGTATTTTATTTTTAAAAACTTGTGCAATACAAGCTACAAACATTTACTTTTTTACAATTTTTAAACAATTCTTTTAACCGCAGTTGAACTTTCACAGTTGTGTTATTACAAGACCTTGAATCTTGGCTGGGGCAATTGCCAGGGCTGGGCTTGTGTTGTAGGGAGCATTACAATTAACATTGTACATACATATGGTGATGGAAAATTTCTTTTCCCTCCTCTCCTTTTTTGGGGATTACACCTTACATTTTCAATTGAGGTATTAGAATTTTACTTGTAGATTAAGAGAAGCATCATTTTGTTTCTCTTAAATGTTTGCATGATTTGGGACTTCTCTACATGAGGGCTTTATTGTGTGCTTGTGATTCTCACTCATGATAGTTTGCAGGTGCATCAACATCCTCCAGGCCTTTCCTGTGCTTTCCAAGCATTTCCACAGCTTTTTTTAAAGTGAAGAAATGGTGGAATGAACTGTGTAGCTTTGCAGTTCTGCTGTATTGCAACACCACTCTGACATTATGTAATGGACCATATAGAAAGGCAGAAAAAGGGGAAAAAATCCTGAAAAAAACACATCTAAAGGAGCCAATCTTAATCTTGCAAAGAATCTAGAAGCAGAAGCCACAGTAAAGTGGTTTCAGTGAAAGCCTCATGTAGAGAATTCCTCTATTTGTCACCTCACCCCAACAACACTTCTTGTAGTAGTAAAAGTGCTAAGATGCTATATAAAATTTCATCAATTTATTGAGCATTTCCTTTTCCTTTTTAGATTTGCTGCTTATTATTTTTTACTGGAAGGCGATTGGGGATATATATTTTATAATTCACCATTTAGTAGCTCTGTACGCTTACTACTTTGTACTGGTGAGTGTCATGTTAATTTTGTAATGGCAATAGACAAATGAGAACAATGATTCAGGGCAGAGTTCAATGGGGTATTTATGCTGCTACCAATTCTCTCATGTCCTCCCAATTTTGTTGGACATATGGTCCCCACCACTTGTGCTGTAGCAATTTAGCACTTTGAAGGCAACCCAAAATGAACAGAATCATCTGTTCTTGGAAAGGGCAGGTTGGCCAAGCTTACATGAGGAGGGCCATCTTGTCCCAGTTTGATTCCGGGCTAGCAACTAGGGCTCCAGGGACCACTTTCCCTGTGTTCAGGTTCCAGACTTGAAAGCCTGCAGAAGAGGTGTTGAAGTTTAAAGTTAAGATGTTCTCTGCTACTATATTGTGTATGTCATTTTTCATATATATAGCTGCACATAATTTTGCTCAAAACTTGAAATGACGCATATAAGAACTTGATGATGTCATTACAAGAGGATATTTTTATCTGTGTGATTTTTTTGCCTATGTCTTCTTTCATATTCTCTCACATTATTCTGTTTACATATACAGACATACCCAGCTAACTGTTTACCAGTAGCTAAGCTAGTGCTAAGTACTCCCTTCTAGTGCTAAGTGCTCTCTTCTTTGTTAAACCTTTCTTGCTTCTGTCCCTGACAGCATTTAAAAAACGATGGCTTACAAGCAGCAGAAAAGTTCACAATTATTACCTGTGACCTTAGCAGAAGAGGCAATAAAAAAGCCAAGCTAATTTCTGAAACCAGACCTTTTTCAAACAAAGATGGAGAAGTTTCAAATAATGCAGCTCCAGTTTCTGATTTTGAGGGTAAACTAGTAAAGCTACAAATTTACCAAAAAGTCTGTGTGACTTCATAATTTCTCCATTTGTCTCTAAGCAGTGGAATGATCATCTAGCTGACTTTGCATTCACAAAGAGATATAACTCAGTAGCTTTTAATAGTTGATACCCTGTTATGCAAAAGGAAGGTTGATTTTTTAAATATTTTCCCTTTACTGCTATTTTGAATGTACTGTAATGTGAACATTGATGTGCTTTAGAAGATTGTATGTATAGGTGTTCACTAGAGGCGCCAAACAGACCACTGGTCCAAACTCTGCTCTGAAACACATAACGCATATATATTCATAGTTTTTACACACACATGCAAAAACACCCATTTTCAGGGGAAGGGAAGCAAGCCGTTGTTGGACAATCCAAATGTTCAGACATTTAGTCTGCTAAAATCTTTATATATACCACTAGTATACTTGTTGCCAGGTTCTTTGTCCAGCCTGAGAAACCTCTCCTTCTCTGTTCCCATTAAAAGCTTTCTTCCTTTTGCCTGTACTCTGGATGTTCTTCATATGCCAAACAGCTGGTTCCATCTCCTACCTGTCAGAGTAAACATCTCAGTCATCCAGGTCTCTTCTTCCCCTTGCTATTTCCACACACTGTGGGCCTCACTTGGGCATCCTAACAGCCTTTAACATCCTAAAGGCCATGAGCCATACTCTTCACAGCTGTGCATTATGTTGTTGGAATGATGCTAACTGTAAAATTGCTTCTTTGTGCAACACTGTATTTTCCTTCTTCAGGTAATTGGAATGGGAGTTGTCTAAAAACACAGCATTAGAATTACAGTGCTGTGTATGTCCCTTAAAAAAGTCAAAAACATTATGGAATCACTGCTGGAATTTTGCTTTCATGCCTAGACTCATGGAGGCTTTTTACCAAGCAGATGATCTGACCCATTTTGTACCCATCATTTAAATGAGATTTTATTTTTGAGACCCTCACTTAAATTATTCCCGGAAGTGATGCTGATCAACTTTACCTTTGTAATCTGCACTTAATATTTCTGAACATACTAGTTAACCTTCAGGTGAAATAGTGCACATATCAGTTCAGGGGAGTGATCTGGTTTATATGCCATACCATTGTTCTCCGTGGGTTATGAGTCACAGTACTCTCAGGGTGCCAAGATAGAAATTCAGCCCCTAGTGAACCTAGCCACTGTGGGAATTAGGCCACCATGGCTTATGTGAGGGTTGTTTTAAGCCTTGGAAAACCCGTGGTAGCTGGCTTTCCAGAACATGACAACTCCTGGGCAAGAATTGAATATTTAAAATGGCAACTGGAATACACCATGGCCCTTCAAGGGTTAATTAGCCCATGTCAGGCTGTTGTATCATGCAAACTGGTCCATTCTGTCTTCATGGCAATGAAGGCTATGGGTTTTCCACATGCACTTATTATTTCCCATTCGTGCTTGTTTATGGGTTTATTGCTGATAACCAAATGTGTTAGTTTTTGTTTTTAAGTTGAAAAATAATGTGTGGGGTTGTATTCAATGGTGCCTTTTCACCAGCAAGGAGCAACCACTAGTGGAACAGATTTTTTTTCCTTTCCAGCTGACAGCTCCTGAACACATGTAAATCAGTTACAGAGGGATGGGGGCCTTCTGGAGTAGATTTGTTGGAGGAGAGAGGATAGGATGGGGAAGTTCTGTGATGAGAAAAGACCTCTGCTTGTGCAAGTACCGGATCCAACCCTAAATATGACTTACAGAAAATGTCATTTACCTTTATTTAATTGACTCTGATTAAACATGATAAGGATTGATTACAGCCTAGCTCTTCAGCTCATGTGGAACTGTTGCAACTTGAGTTTGAAAAAATTTAACTGGCTTGATCATTGTAATCCTGTCTGGGAAAGATTTTTCTAAGTAGGTACTCTGTTCCCAAAGATGCTAAAGAAGGGGATTTACTTTCTAGAAAGTACTCATTTTAATTTTGCAATGCGTTTTGGGAAGTTGAATCCTAATCATATTCTACTGTGCCTGGATTCCAGGCACGTCAGCAGTCGAGGACAGTTATTAGCCTAGCCTTGTCTGTATGTTGTGGGTTTTGAGTGATAGAGAAAGATAATAATGTATGCTGCTCTTCGGGACATCTTCTTGGTCAGTGGCTATCAAATAAATCAATAAAAGTGTACACTAAGAAAAAAATCATAGCAGTAGAATAAAGCCATCCAGGGTTTTAAAACGGCTTAGGAAATATTTAAAATGAATTTACCTGTTGAAAGGAAGATTTCAACATCAGTACCCAAACATAAGGAAGCTCTTTTAGAAAATTACTAAAAATTACTCAGAAGAGTAATCACCTGCCTGACCTTGGAGGGAAGATGCACCTTGAGAAAGACCTTGAAAGGTTATGGTATTGCTTGGGCATAATTGTATGGACGGAGTTGCTACTTTGGGTACGTGATGCCCAATTCCCAAACTATGTAAGGCTTCGAAACACTAGCATTTTGACCTGTTCATGGAAACAGACTAGCAACCAGTCAAATAGTTAAGAAGCAGTGTTCCTAGGCTGTGCGTAATGCTAAGCAAGCTTAGATAAGAGGTCCATGCTGGGTAGTTCTTCATGGTCTCTGTACATTGCACATGTGGTCTGTGCACTTACACGCAGTCTCAATTTGGCAGACTTGCATAGTTGAACAACTTCTGGTGGGATCCCTCTTCAACTGCCCCAGTGCACATGATCTTAGCAACTTTCCAACTTTTTCTCTTAATCTCTCTTCACCATTGTGGTTGCCTCATAAGACTGCATTTTACTTCTGTTGAAGTTTTTTCTAATTTTTTCTTACTTCTTCTGAAGGCACCCTTCTGAAAGTGTGCCAGGTTCCAAGGGAAGCTCCTGCTGAGAGATGGCCATTTACGCTGGTGAAGCGCATATCATAGATGCCTGTTCACATTGGCAGGCCTTCACTGAGCAGGTGAGGAGGAACAATGGGCAGATTCTGGGCAATGCTCCAGCAGAAAGGATTAGAGGTGTTGATACCCCAAAAGTTGGAATGGCCTGGGCACTGCCTACAGTTCCACAGCCAACTATTTGGTGGATATTGAACCTCTGACCTTGCCCAGCTGCAGCCTCTAACCAGAGGCTGTGCAGATCCGACTACTCCTGGGCATTTCTTAATGCTGTTTGCAGCAAGAAATCAAGAACTTCTAAATCTTATAACCTGAGGTTGTCTAAATCTTCTGTAACCTTAGAAAGGGAAAAGAAAAAGGTCAGGCTCCATGAATGAACAACAAAATTGTACCCAATTCTGCCTATTCCCATCACACCATTGCTGCCAGTATCTTCAGTCTTGAAGGTCGTTGTGGTAACAAAGGCCATACTGACAGTAGCGCAAGACCAGATCTTTGTCACTTCCACCTTGGAAAGGAAGAAGTGACCCAACCCCTCCTGATTGCACATTGCTATAGGACTTGGCTGTGCAACCTGAACATGTAGGTAGACACTTGGATTGGTCAACTCTAAGATTTCGATACTATGGCAGAAAGCTCTTCTTTGTCTCTGACATTCAAATGGGATCAGCAATCCAAATGGTTTCGGGCCATAAAGAGATCCTAGTACTATTGGGATGACTGGAACATGAGCAGGAGACAGAGCTTCACCGCATACGAATTCTGCTTTCTCTTACCTTTACTTTCCCCTTCAGCTTCAATCTCTTGGCCACTGGACCATGACTCTGATACCATATTCTTACTGTACCTACCTTGACTTCAGCAACTATTCCAAATCACTTAACTAGTTCTGTCCGCACAGGATTCCATATGTTCAGATTGGCCCTGACTGACCACCGGTTCTAGAACCAGCTTTGGTACAGTAAGCAATAGCAAGATTTCACCACACTTGTCAGCCGAAGGAGACAATTCCAGTTAGAAACAGTGTCATCTTTGTCAGTCGTGCATTCATTAGTCTCCTCTCCAGTTCCTGTGGTTGATTCTCAGAACACCCAACTCACTGGCCAAAGGTGTGGTCCATTTCTCTGACTGGGTGCTGCAGGTTGTTCAGTCTTTGGACCTTGAGACCCACCAGCTAGTACTGAAGCTCAAGGAGCCAGAGTTTGATACAGTGTGCACAGAAACAGCTACATCAGTGGTAATCCCTTTTCTACTGACCTTACTCCAGGCAGTACAGTAGACCTGGAAGGCTCTGGCATCCATAATTCCAGCATTCATTCATCTGGAGAAAAAAAAAAAATATAGTGCGCAAGAGAGAGATGCATGTTTCTCTGCTTCCATCCCCTACTGAGCTCAACAATTTGAGCTGTTGTAGCGTTACTCTAATAAAGTCGATTTCTTCTTCAGTAGACAAGAGATGAACATAGTCTCGAAGGTATGGGTTGGTGTATTGATTCTTCTCCAGCTATAGAACATAAAGTCTCAAACTGTCAGTCCATGATGACTTGATATCAGCTCTACTTATGGAATAGATGGGGTTGTTCTGTGGTTATATGCTGGATGATCAGTGGTCATTTTACACCAAGGCATTACAATTCTCAAGAGAGCAAATCAACTCTTCTCACCATCAGGTGGATTGTAATAATGGTAGGAACTGTTGCTGTTTCTTGGCTGAAGTCAGCAAGACTTAGCAGGAGGCATGTTCCTGTATCAAAGATCTCCCTTTTGATAGTGAATTACTCAATGCTGGAACAAATGATGCAGTGGACCTTGTGCAAAAAACTGAAGACTAGTGCAGAAGATGGTGCTTGGCCACCTCTGTACCATCAGTGCAAGTGGTTTCATCCTCTTTCTTACCCTCAAATGAAGTAGCAGCAGGCCTGGCAGTTCCTCTCCCGTCTGTGCACTCATACAATCTGCCCATCATCTCTAACATGGACATTAATGTTCATTTTTTGCTATCTTATTACCAAAACATACAGTATAAATGTTGGTTGCTGCACTGTTGAGGGTTCTAAGGGTTTCTCTTGGTTTTAAGGCCACACTAGGTTGTCTCAAAGAAAATGAGGGAAAATGTAGGAACTCAGTAAGGACATATACACTGGGACAATGGAGAAGCCTTCCTTTTCAAAATTCCTTAGCTGTAGAAGTTTTCGAAATCAAGGCTGTACTCAGGCCCAGAGCCCATATGTGTGAATGTGCAGATACCCACCTTTTGTTACTTGCAAGAGGAAGAGAGGTGGGGTATAAATGTAATGTAGCAGCAGCACTAGTAATAACAATAATAGCCTATGTGGATTATAGTGAGGTTGCCACAATGAAGAGTATGTTTACCTAATTTTAACAGATAGTCTTGATCATAATAATGATTAGAAGACATATCAACTGGATGTACTTTATACACAGGGGTCTGGTGAAGGGAGAGCGAACTGGAGGATTTGATCTATTTTTATAAACAGTATTTTTTATAATTGGAAACACTAAATTTTGCACTTTATAAAAACATTCAATTATATTTTAACGTACATGTATTATTTTATCCTATTATTTAACTCATTTTATCTTATTGTATCAATATACTTTAATACTTATAGTTACATGTTTCTGAGAATTAGCACCAATATTTCTGATTTCTGTCAATGTTTGTTCTGTTTAGGATAGAGGATTGTTGGCATATTTTGCTAATTTTCGCCTACTTGCAGAATTCTCTACTCCTTTTGTGAATCAGCGGTAAGTGACATTTTCTTACATTAATTAGCTGTTCTTAAGTTGCAATTTACCTTGCAAATCTATAATACACTGACTACAGATTTGGAAGACCTCGGCTGATTCCAGGAAGGTGGATACTAGCAATACCCAGTCAGTTAGCCTTTCTTGTAAGCTACAAGTGGAATTGATTGTTGCAGTTCATCTGTTGCAATTAAGTATTGGGAAAATTGCATTTTTCTATCTTTTGTCAACATCCTTCAGTGTAACACTGAGGGGAGGACCTTTTTTTCAAAATACAAGGATAATTGAAATCTGTTCTTCAGTGAGTAAATTGAGGCATTTTGTGCTGTTGAGTTTATTTTCAGAAATTGCATATGTCCACACTAATCATTCTTATATTTTCATATATTTCATATATCGCATACTATCTTTTGCTAAACTCTGACAGTATAACTATGAACAATTTTACTGCTTTTAGTTAGAATCTCAGTTAGACGAATGAATGATCTAAACATGGCAGCTTTTGTCATACCAATGAGAACTAGAAATTAAGCTTCTGAAAGAGAAACTTACCAGAATTTATTTAGGATTGCTTTTATATGTACCATAAACCAAAAAGATATATAGGACTATAGTCTACATTACAATATGTGGCTTGGTCAGCATTCATTGCCTATAAATAGTGTATTAGATACTGTTTTCAAATTTATACAGACAGCTAGATATGTTTTGTAAAATCAGTCTTGGCCCTTGCTGTTCAGCCTTTGAAGGTGCTAACTCATCATCTTCCTGTGATCTTGAATAATTCATACCTTTATTCTCATTTGACTCTCTGGATATTTTTAGATCCAGCTGCTTGTGTGTCTGTTTTAATGCAGGGGTGTTACAGTCTTTGGACTGAAGGGCAAAACACTTTTCCTTGCTTTCTCATCAGTCAAGTGAGAGGTAATGGTCCCAGATAATGTAATTCTTGGTTTCTACTGGAAGTTACTACTGATCTCTTTAGACAAGGAGGTCCATGCACTGCAGAACGACTGGCACCATGGCTCCCCTCATGTCACATTGGCTCCTCCTAGTAGCTGGGGCAGCACTGGTGTGAGGAGGAGACATGGAGCTGGCTTTTTCATGTGGTGGGGGTGTTTGGGTTTTCTGTCACACTGTGAGAAGGAGCCACCTGAACTAGCTCCCGTTCTGTAAACTTCATGTTAGAAGGCATTGTCTCCTAGAGTTACTGAAATGCCATAGCTATTGGTTATTACTTCTTGTGGAAGGTGTGTTTATCACAGAAGAACTTCCAGAATTTCTCAAGAATGGTTCACAAATTCACATTTTAGTATGCAGAGGAATCTTTAATGCAGAGGAAAGTTCATCTGTGATCTTGCTAAAGATGTTGTAGATACAAATTACCCTTCTACCTGCCATACTTCTACCATAGTGAGGTACTTCAGATATTGATACAAGACCTTTATCAGTGAAAAAGGATGCATTCCTTTTTTGATGCACAGAATCCTAAAAATAGCTAACTTGGTACTTTATTTATTAAATATATTATCTGCTTTTCATTATAAAATAATTGGTATAACAAATAATAACAAATTTAGTCAAAAGCCTGGGTGAAGGCACATAGGACTTTAGTTGGTGCCAGAACCTGTAAGACTGAGGTCTAACTGTATATGAGCGACAAGGCACATTATTCGACAAATGTTATTTGATGAATGTTTGCAGAATGTGAACAAAAAGCTTCTTAGACTGAAATATTTGTATCCCATCAGTGCACATATACAGAATATTAAATCTGAGCATAACCAGATGGTAAATAATGTAAATTGTTTATTATACTAGTTTACATTTACATGTCTATATATTAACTAGTAGAAAATAGCAAAGCTTTGTTGTGCAGTTATATTTTAACTTCTGAATGCAGTAACCTCTTCGAGCAATCTAAATATTCTCAACTTTTCAACCAATGATAAAAAGCATATCATGTCAACTGAATATCAAATCTAAATTCCCTTCCTCCTCTCTCCCCTCCTTCCTTCCTGAATCATGGGTAATTCTACTTGGAGGGTCACTTCAAAGTTCTGCTGTATATTGATCTCATTTTCACTTTCCTAGTGACCCCTACTTATGTGTAAGTGAGAACAAACTTGTGTCAGGGCTCAGTATCCTGAAACCCTATTCCATGCATCTGGGTTGCTAAGTATGCTATGGAGCAGCTCGGTTGTTGCTCTTCTTCTACAGCTTCATCTTATACAGTTGTCGTTATGTAAAAAGGCAGACATGACATAGGAGTTGTAGGCAATGATATGGCAATACAATGGAAATGCTAGAAAACTGGAGTGTGGGGACTTCAGGGGCAATGAGTATGTTGCTACTTTAGCATGGTGTTGTGGAGGCGAGCCACTGGAGAATAGCAACACTGCCATAACATTAAAAAGAAAAATCTGATGTAAGTCTGTTTCATCTTTTCAAATTGGGAAATAACATGAGAGGAGGCTAGGATTATTTTGCAAAGCTTGCATATTCTTGCAGACTGAAATGGAGTGCTGCTGAGCTCTTTGTACTTCTGTTTATTTAGAGTTTTATGTATCTTCTGTAGAGCTACCATTTCTTTGCTAAGGTTCCATTAGTTTGAGACTGCCAGAAAGATCAAGGTCATCACATTGTTGCAGTATAAACAAATTTATCTGGTGATGTTTCTAGAGTATTTTACAAAATACAGTACTGTGGTAAGAAATAAGAATGCATGTGCACCATGTGTGGTTAAAATTCAGTTTGAAAAATTATTCTTATTACCAATAAATTTCAAAATGCCTACAGAAATTGTTTTTAAACTGTTTAGTTGCATGAAAGTTCTTATCAGTGTAACTGAAAAGCCATGTTTTTTGAAATGAGATTGTAGCAGAGTTGATGAATCTCTATTCTTAGATCTCAGAGAGTATTTGAAGATTGCATAAACCAAATATAAAAGTGTAATACCATCTTGAATTGACCGATATTGATTTCTAATATAATTCTTTTTCTCTAGGTGGTTCTTTGATGTACTGGGGTATTCCAAGGCTTCAAAAGCCAACATCATCAATGGACTACTAATGACAATCGTGTTCTTCCTGGCAAGGATCATAGTCATCCCAGTTTATTATACCAATGTTGCTTCTGAGGTTGGAACAGAAGCTTTCTACAAATTAGGGCTTGCAGCTCAAAGCGCCTGGTTTATCTCCAGCATTGTCTTGGATATCATGAACTTAATATGGATGGTCAAAATTACAAAGGGATGTTACAAAGTTATTTGTCTTATTGGACAAGGAGAAGCCAAAGCACATAAGAATGGCAAATCTAAGTAGAAGATTTAAAAAAAAAACAGTAGCTTTGGGTTCACTGAAAGAACAATGCACACTTCTGCCATAAAAAGAGCCTCTTAAGGAAATAAGGTATTACCTCTGATAAATTTAGCTTTCCCTTTGACCCACTTGCCTGGGCATCCAGGACCAACTCATTTGAAGACTTGCATTATGTGGAGTGGGAAACAATAACATGCTGCATTTATTGACCTTGGTAGTGTATTCTAAGCACTTAAAAGACAAATGAACCAGTAAAGGAATCTCTTCTAGCACTACGTTCCTATGAATTTTCACTCAGGTTTCTTAGATGTGTTTTTAATGCCTGTGAATGTCAGGATCATTGGTTTACGTTCTAATATGGCAGCTTTCCTGGCATGTTTCTCTGCTTTCTTAATGTTTGCTGTTCCTAACTGAAACTTCATCTTTTGACAACTTTTTAACATATTTTGCAAGTCTCTTGCTTTGAATCTGTAATCTTTTACTGCATTTTCTGCTGCCTTATGTGCATGCACATGACCGTTTGAGATTTATAGAGCAATTTTACATAAAGCTATCAATTAGAGTTTGGGGTTTCTTTTCTCTTTTAAAATATCACTACTGACTCTTGCTGTACATAAAAGATATTTTCAACCTTTAATTAAGTATCTGAATTCCAACACATGTTAGCATGGTAAACAGTATGGAGATGAGCAAATTCTTGTGTCAGTGTTCCTTCCCTTTCATGGTGGTTTGGACCTTGTATGTTTTTAGTGTAGTGTCATATATCTAAATGATTTTTGTGGAGTGTAAACTAATGAAGGGAAGAAAATTTAGAATATATGTATTGTTACAAGAACCATTGTGCATAAGTTTAACTTGTTACTGATCAATTCATTTGCATCCTTGATCCTTTTTTCCTTTAATGCAAAATCAAAGAAATAGCTCATTGCTTCACCAAGCAGCAAAATGTTTTTAAAACCAGATCTTTTATCTACGAAACTTGAGAGCAGCTCCACAAAACATACCTTGATGCAGGTTTTCATCTTTAAAGGAAACCTTCAACATTGTTCATCTCTTGACAGATATTTGCAAAAGCATGTTGTTGATGAATTCAAAAGATTGTACCCAGTACGCCTCTAGTGGAAAATGTACAAGAGATTTTATTGCACTAGCACAACTATGAGCATAATAATTAGCACAATTAAGGCTAGGTTAATGAAGTCATAATAACTTGTGCAATAACTCGTGCAATAGTTTGTCAGACAACGTGTGCAAAGTGTGCAATATCATGCACAAAGAATCAAAATACTGAATTGTTGTATAAGCTTTGTGCTAGCAGAATAGCACCATTAGATACAACAGTGAAAAGGAAACATTTGTAAGAAAAACATGATTGAAAACCTGCTTGTTTACATACATTTTATACTATTGTGTGCTCCAGTTTGTTAAGGTTTCCCATATTTATTATTTGTATTTATCGTAATGTATCGAAGACCATGTGTCATAATTTGCTGCTAATACTCTGTTCCTTTTCACATTGGTGATACAAATATGGAGGAACAAGCTATTTTCCTGTAACTAGTTTCATGGCCTTATTGTGTGCTATTTCTTTCTACTGCTGTTCTTTAGCAATGCTTCATGCACAAGACTATTCTTCATCTAAAACTTACGAATACTAAACTTGAGCTACTACATAAAGTAGACTTAATGTTAATATAAAAAGCATTTTCCCCCTTCTCTCAAGAGCATGTGTATCTCTTTATGGCTTGGTAGATGTTGTTGGGTTCACAAGATTACATTGACGTTCATCAGTTTAAGTCATATTTATCTCATAACATTAAAACAACCTACTTCTGATCTTTGCATTAGAATTGTAGTAGCTTGAGTATAATAATATAAATACAGAGACCCTATCCAGTCATGCATGTGTAGACTTGCATGTGTGAAAGATCACATTTTATATGCTACAAATAACATGTTTTAAATCTCAAGCTGTTTCTCGGTGGCACCATTTGACACACTCAGCTCTGATTCTTTAGCGATTAATGATCAAGTGATGTACTTGTATGTGTCAATCAGTTATACTTATTTTCTAAATGAACGGTCATAATTCTGTTTCCTGAGCACCTTTTCCTGTGTAGAAGAGTCTAGAAACTAAATTACACATATCCACATTTTTAAAAATGGCAATGAACAACAATTTATACTTTGGATGCAATTTAGGGTGTAGTCCGATGCCCTGCATTCTCAGTACATGTAACCCTCTGAATTTGAAGACATCTGTGCATCCTTTGCCTTGGATGAAGAATGGCGGTACTTATCTCTGTTGTTGCTATGCCTTGCACCAGGTGTTTTATCTAAATGGCCATTTTCAGCTGCCCAGAAAAATGCTAGTGAGGAAAAAGGAAGGAGGCTGAGATGCTGATAGGGATCTGTCCAAGTCTTCAACCCAGCCTCCTCCCTTCTCCTCCCTCTAGCATGCCCATGTCCTTCCCTCTGGGGAAGGGGAGAGACTGTGCCCTTGCTGGGGATCAGCTGGCACAATTCTTTCCGTGCCAGTGGTAACAGGGCAGGGCAGGTGTTGGTCTTCAGAGTCCCAGGTCTGAGATTGTAGGATCTCAGAGCTAGGAATCTGAAGAATCCTGTGACCTCCCAGACAATGTCCGGAGGCTGTGGGATTGCATCCTTAATCCTCTTAAGTTGAATGGCTTCTTTCATTGTCAAGTGCCTTCTTTCATTGTCCAGTGCATTTGTTATCCGTAAATTAACGGCTGTTGAGGTCTTCTCATGGTCTCTGCATCATATGCCTGGGCTCTCTGTCTGCACAGAGCCTCCACGAAACTTCTATAGTTGAGGAGCATTGGCAGCAACTCTTCCCGGCATATAATGTGCATTGAGTTTCTATCTACTTTCTTAGTACCTCTTCCACCAGGATTAAAGAAGCTTCTGTCTGTTGGACTGTGATTTTTACAGAGGTTCTTTGTCTTGTTTTCATTTTGATCTTTCTCTCTCTCTCTCATTTTTTGTGTAGCATGGGGTCACATGGGGTCCATCATTCCTATTTCATAACTGTGCTCATCACCAGGCATTTATGAAATAGGAATGATGGAATCCATTTGATAGCACCTGTGCTGGAAGCAGTGGAACTTCAAAAACTATGGCTTGTGCATGTTCTCTTTCTCTCGTTTGTTCATTGGTGGCAGCAATAAGGCCTCTCACATTGCCTGATCCATCTGTGGTAAAAAGCAAACTCCAGGGGGCTTCCTGACTCAGTGGCCAAAAAGCTGGCCAAAAAGATTCAGACACCTAAGGCCTCGACAAGCTTTGAAAAGTAAAAGGAGTGAAAAAAACCTTCCTAAATTACAAAAGATATGAAATAGTAGCCTAATGTTTTGCATTGAGAGTAAACTTCTGGAAAATTTATTGGTACCAATGCATAATAATGGGAATAACCTTGAAAGTTCTTGCTTCTGTTTAGAAAGATACACTGTACGTATCCTCAGACCACAGGCTCACACACTTTCAGTGCTTTAAGTCTCTCCTCCTTATTTTGGAACTGAGAAAATGATCTGCTTATCTATTTATGTACAGTTGTGGCTCATAAGCAACTAGCAAGATACAATTAGTGTAAAAAGAAAGGTTTTTTAATATGCTGCAAATCAAAGCACCCTGGCATTAGGCCATTTATAGTATCTGCAAGTACCCTTCAAACTGTTGGCAATAATTATTTACAGATCAAATAATTGTATGTACATTATTGCTTGTATCAAAATGGTTTCTTAAAGTGCAATTCTATGCATGCATAAACAGAAAAAAGTCTTCCAACCCCCAGCATTCTGGACAGTTCCAAGCTGGGGAATTCTGGGTGTTGAAAGCCATTTTTATGTCTAAATATGCATAGGATTAAGACTGAAGGTTCTTCACATTGCACTTTGCATCTCAGGGCTGTAAATTGGGAACTGCTGTTTATCTAGTTCTCAGATTAATATAGGCTGTATGGATTTAGCTTTTCATTTGGCAACATTGTCATGTTATAGAGAGCCACACAAAAAATCCACATTTCCCCCTCTTTCCATTATTTACATGGGAAAAAGTTCATATTCTTAGAATTAATAGAAGTCCTAAGTATTAAATATTAAGAAGTAACAAATGCTCATGAATATTCTCAGTTCCATTAAAGTGTCAGTCCTAGATGCCAGCCTTCACCAACCAGGTGTTCTTTAGAAGGATGGCAGGGGGATGATGGGGGTGATACTCCCAACACATTTGGAGGGTATCAGGTTAGAGAAGGGTGTATATGTGCTCACCTCAGAGAAAGTCCCATTGAACTCACTAGGGCTTACTTAAGAGTACTGTGTGTGTATTGTTTTTCTTGCAAACAAACAGATAATTTCATTTTTAAATAATAAATGATACTTCATCTCAGTAAAAGGTATTTTTTATCAATAGGTGTTAACATGAAAAATTGGGGTCCTAAGTCACAAAATACTTTCCAGCATTATGTGTTCTTAGTTTGTTCTGTAATGCCATTCTTCTGCTCTAACTGTAAAATCTGTCTACTGGATCTTATGAGCTTTATAGTGTTTCATGTGCAATTGGGCATACCTTCACATGAGCTTTATAGTGTTTCATGTGCAATTGGGCATACCTTCACAATATTAAAAAAGCAGTGCAGACCAGGCCTCTGACATAATTCCATCTTTTCTTTATGAATATACCTGTGGAGGAAATTTGTTTTCCAGAGTATACCAGGTTCTGAATATGGGTAAAGCTGATATGAAGACCAAAGACAATTTTGGAGCCTGATGGTTTGTATATATGCTTCTGGACTAACTATCTGCTTCCAAAAGTGGCTTTTTTCTCTAAAGTGAACTGCCATGCTGGCAGGGGAGGGAAAGATGAACCCCCCCCCCCCGCATGCTGTAGTACCAATGCCCAACCTTTCACAACTGTGCTTAGGAACTTTCCATTTTTTAAAATTCCAGACATAGCTGCATTCCTTGGATTTAATGTAATGCATCGTTTAACCCTAGAAGCACCACCTGTTATGTAGTAACAGGTTTTTAAAAAATGACTTCTGTTGGTAACAGTTGTGGTGGGGGAATCAAACCTTATACATGCCAACGAATCTTGTTCAGGTGTAAAGAAATTTCTTCAAATAATTTGCATCGATTGACTTGGAAATCCTTTGATTTTGTTCCCTAAAATTAATCCTACTGATGTCCTGCTTAGTTTGGACCACCTCCAGGATACAGCAATAAAATATCCCCTATCATGCTGGTTGGAGGTGTGGTTTTTTAATGTATTTTATTTTTTTTTAATGCATTTACATTGTTCTTCTAAGCAATTACTTTGAAAAGCTTGGGAGTTTTCTGACACAGATTTTATTGTGCAATCAGTTTGTCTCACATGGAAATTTACCAGATGAAGTTGTTTTCCACTTGCATTGCTTCTTTGTGGAGGAAAAGAGGGAATAACTGCACAATGTTGTTTGGTTCATATGTCTAGAACCTGTCCATCTGGAAGCTTCCATTGCCTTAATGAATAAACAGTACATAACCTGCAAGACAGATGGATTAGACCATGATGCAGAAACTGAGAACATTTGTTATGCTAGTACTCTATTTACAAACCAAGACAAATGGTTTTATGCAATATTTTTAAATGGGAAAATCCAAAATATAGAAGCTGCGATGTAATTTATATCTGTGGTTTTGGTTGCCCATTATTTTTCTAGGCATGTCCCTGTGACCAAACTAAAGGAGTTCCATTTGTAGAATTCCTGAGTTTTTTGTGAAAACAGATAAAGGGGATATGATCTGAATCAAGGGAAGAGGCTTAACATTTTCTTGTTCCATTTCCAACTAAAAATCCTTATCCCTGCCAGCAGAGTTGCTGTTTGTCCCAACTGGAAAAATGTGGGGTCCATCTGCCTTTAGTCTTTTTTATTTGGGGCAAATAATTTTCGAGACCAGTGGCTTTGGGAAGCAGTTCTGATGAGGGTCAGGAACTCTGCTAGCTGCATTTTTAAAAAATATGTTGGGATTTCCAGTCATCACATCCTCAAATTAGGTCCAGTTTAACCCGTTCCTAAGTTTTATTACGTACATTCCAAAGCAGGCATATAGGCAATGCAGGGAGCAGTACAAAATTTATTATGAAAAGGCAATTTTCACACATATGTACTGAATGTTGAAGAATATGGTTCAAACACACCTGCTTCATTCATTTACAAGCATCCTCTAAATGCATTTTTAAAATGACAATAGACAGTCATTCCTGCAGCTGTGTTTACAAGATTTTCTTTCCATTTGCAAAACTAAAATACATACAATGTGGACATGTGTCCTGTTGCAGCAAGTATGCACAACAATAGAATAAAGTCTATTGTTTATAGCACAAAGTCTGATAAAGGCAGTATGGAGTGTCCCTTTACAAGCATGGAATGAAGATGAGAACTGTGAATCCTGCTGTACTAAACGGAAACTCGGCATGATTGGATAGCTCCCAAATGAGAATGGCACAAAAGACTGGGACAGCACTATTGATTCCAGATTGGTTGAACAGTTTGTGAACTTTAAAAAGATCTTCCCATCTGCTTGAAGACTCTTAATTGTTGTTTGTGATAGAGGTACACCAATGAGTGTGCACTTCACTAGTATTCGAGAACCTTGCTCTTTGTATAAATTTTTGGAGGCTGATCTTGATTGAGGTATATGCAATGATGTCTAAGCAATAAGTTGCATGCATGTTCAAGGCACTGGAAACTAAGAATAAAGGAAGAGAATGAAGCATATCTTTGATTTTTTTTCATTAAAATAGTGTGCAATGTTTAGTAAAAAAAGTGAGTTTTATCAATATATACAGAGAACAAAACTTGATGTTCATTAACAGCTTCTCAATGTGGTCTATAAAAATGCTCCTTAGCTGTATGTGGTAGACAGATTTTTCTCGTGATGACAGATTTTAGATTTAGAATTAAGTAAGATGAGATTGATGCATTGGGTGGAAGAATTTGAACACCAATAAAAAGTAGTTGCAGGTTATAACAAAGATTATGTGTGTATTAGATTTATATCCCATCTTTTTTCTTTAAAGAACTCAGTGCAACTTACTTCATATCCTCTTCTCAATCTTATCCCCACAACAACAATCCTGTGAGGTAGGTTGGTCTGAGAATCTGTGACTGGCTTAATTGGCTCCATGGCTGAGTGGGTACTAGAACCCAGATTGCCTGAGTCCTGGGCCTGTACTCTCAACTACTGCACCATACTGGCTTTCAAGATTAAAAAGTGGTCTTATGTATTAGAATTTACACTCTGGTTTCATGATATGTAACACATTTGGATATGTAAAATGGATGTGTGGGACCCATTGCAAAAGATTGATCCAGCTTGTAACACCTAGAACATGAATTTCTCAATACCAGAACTCACCATGGTGATAGGGGGAATGTTACAGGATGAGGATAAAGGGAAAAGATGTCTTCACCCTACCCCAGCCTCTCTGTAACCTTTCCCTATTGTGTTACATAGTGCTAAAGAGGTCAGATTTGAAGCTGATTGTCCATCCCAAGGGCTTGTTTCCAGTCTGGGAAAGCTCACAGGAACTGCATTCCAGTGCTTGCATGGGGCCGAAATAGCATACTGTAGCTTGAAACTCTTGCAGCAACCCAGCAGTATGGATCTGCAACAGAATTTTGCAGTGTTTTACAGCTGCTAAGAGGTATGCACTTGTTCAGGGCTCTAGGAAAGCTGGAATGTGAGTCTCGTAGCACTGTCCTGGATGCCTTTGAGCCTGAGTTCTTGTCATTGTTGATTTTAAATGGGCTTTAATAATATAATCCTTCCTGTTTTACTTGTTAACCATGTGATAGGCCATCCACTTCATTTAGAGAGGCAGAATTATCAGCATGGCAAGCATGAGCATTTAACAAAATCCTCCCCCAGGTGCCAGACATGCATCTCCATCAGCAATGCCCCGGTGGAGGTGAGGGGTCAGGGCGCAGTGATGCAGTGTTCTGCTTTGGGAGTAGCTTGGGACCCTCACTAGGCATGGGCTCCATTGCTATGGCAACTCCTCGGAATTACATCATGCAATTTGAAGGAGCAGCTACGGGTTCTTTTTCAAGTACTTCTTCATTAAAGATATAACTGACAAACTGAATACCATCTAGATAGTTTTTTGCATAGAATCATAGAACAGTAGAGTTGGAAGGGGCTGGGAAGGCCGTTGTGTCCAACCTTCTGCTAAGTTCCAGCCTAGTCTAAAACGTCCTGCCTGGAACATGTATAAGAAGTTGCCCTAGTGGTATCTTATGATGCCCTATGTGAGAAGGAGCAGCTTCTAATTAGTGTTAGCTCAAACCCTGCAGCATAAACTACTACACAAATATTTCTGTAATATGCGTGAAAGAGCAAAGCTCAGGGGATAGTAGATGAAGTACCTCTCCTATACTCAGGCTCCCAAATGCAGGCAAGGATAGTCTTAACATGGAACCTTCCCCTTCCAATATGCATAAAGTACAGTCAAGTAAAGCAGCAGCGCTCTTTCTTATGAAGAATGTAGCAATATTCTCAATATAAATTATTCATCACCACAGCTGTTACAACCAATATATCTTGACTTCTTAGATGCTCTAGTTAATCTTTTGTCCTGGAATGCCATAAAGTAGGGAAAAATGGTGTGAGATCAAGCTTCCTTCAGGTACCTCTCTCAGTTTCAGTTCCTTGGCTTGCAGTAGACCTGGGTCCTAAAAACTGAAGTGCAGGAACACCTTCAGTGCCTGCAAAGGAGGAGTGGAAAGGGTATGGTTAGGGAGCAGAAGGAACTTGTTTTGAGGGCATCTATAAATGTAACAGTAAATAGGCAGCCACTTAAGACTAAGACATCCCCCCTTCTGAAATGGGTGCCGGCAAAGCAATCCACAAGATAGGATACTCCAATTTATCGTTCCATTCCTGCTTAAGACTCAGTGTATCATATCTGTGCCCCAATGCAGGTGGCGCAGTGGTTTAAACCGCTGTGCTGCTGGGCTGGTTGATCGAAAGGTCGCCAGTTCGAATCCACACAACGGGGTGAGTTCCCGTTGCTCCATCCCAGCTCCTGCCAACCTTGCAGTTCGAAAGCATGCAAATGCAAGTAGATAAAAAGGTACCACTTTGGTAGGCAGGTAACAGCGTTCCGTGCACTTTGGTGGTTAGTCATGCCAGCCACATGACCACGGAGACTGTCTGCGGACAAACGCTGGCTCCCTCGGCTAGGAAACGGAGATGAGCACTGCCCCCTAGAGTCAGGCATGACTGGACTTAAAGTCAAGGGGAAACCTTTACCTTTAATGGATATTTATGAACATGGTTTATGGTCAGTTTAACTGATCAGCCTCAATATTTCCAATGGAAAGGGGGCCTTGAAGCCCTAAAAAGCAGCAAGGGCAAATATGTTTCCTATATGTATAATCTTAATGAAAAAATGTTCATGCAAGATTGGGTGAAGGGTATATAAGACATAGCATAATTTCTAGTTACAAAATCGATGGATAAGTCACCAAGCTATGCTGGCATTTGTTTAAGTTAATTTAAGTTTACTTTGATTATTCAACAAAGCCAAAATGAATGACAGTTCTGCAGGAAATTTCACATACGCCTCTTTAAAGGGCAGAAATGTCATTCATTATTCTTTGATTCCCTCATGTACGAGTGCACCTTGTG